TTTCCCTCTCTCTTTGCCTGTGCTGCTTGGATGCTGCTCTGACTCTGTCCTGTCTCCTGGAAGGAGTGGATGCGTAGGGAGCGGGAGGCAGCCACGCAGCAGCTGGAGGAGGAGGTGGAGGTGAGGAGCAGGAGGGGGGGGTTGGAGAAGCCCCCAGACCTGGACTGGAGAGCCAGAGAAATCTCTACAAGTGCTGGTTCCCCAGAACTTCCCTTCTCTGTTCCCTCTCTTCCCAAAAGACTTAAGACACCAGGAGTTAAGAAGCTGTGGTTGAGGAAGGAAAACTGAAAACCAAGGGCTGGAAGTAGAAAGGCAGAGAAATGCAAATGGGAATCAAAGTCAAATGAAATTACCTGAGAGTGGGTGAAGGTTGAGGAAAGACAAGTGTAGAGGAGCTGTAGAATTGCACCCTCAAAGGTCTCCAGGTCTGGAAGCCTCTCTGGATGCGGAGAACAGGAGTGTGTGTCCTGCTCCTCTGCCCTGGGGGGTCTGTGCACCAGGGGGACATGATCCCTGCAGGATCCCTGCAGCCCCTCTCTTGGGTCCCTGTCGTGTCAGGGACAATTCCAGGTTCATTTCCAGGCAGGGGGAAGACTGCAGAGTCTGGAGATAAGGCCTGGGTTATGACTTGGGGGGAGGGCTTTCCTTGTAGCTGCTTTTCTGGTTGATGCAGTCGAGTTCTGGCCTGATCTTTTCCTGGTGTGTGTGTTTGTTGCCCCCTGCAGAACGTCCCCAGTGAACCTCTGCGACTGGACTACAGGACCCTGGCTGCCCTGCCCAGCACTGGCCTGCAGAGGGTCAACCGGGCTGTAAGTGGGGGCTGGGGAGGTGGGGGGCCCTGGGCTGGGGGGCCTGGGGTCCATCTGCTACCTGCTCTCTCCCTTGTGCCCTGGGGTGAGAGGTGAGGCCTGCAGGAAAGCTGGGGAGGGACTTGGGATGAGGGGCACTGGTCCTAACCCAGAGCAGGAGGATTGAGATGAGACATCAGGGAGAAGTTCTTTACTGTGAGGGTGGTGAGGAGCAGGTTGCCCAGTCACAGGGTGGTTTCTGAGGAACCTCTGAGGATCATCTCGTCCAGCCCCCTGCTCAAGCAGGATCACCCAGAGAGGTGGTGGAGGCCCCATCCCTGGAGAGACATTCCAGGTCAGGCTGGATGGGGCTCTGAGCAACCTGGTCTAGTTGTACCTGTGCCCTGCAGGGGGGTGGACTGGGTGACCTTGAAAGGTCCCTTCCAACCCAAAGCATCTTGTGATTCCATGACAGTGCTCCCTGCAGAGGAAAGCTGGGAAGCAGAACCCTGGGTGGGCTTGGGCACCACCTGAAACAGGAGGAAGCCACAAAAGTTGAAAATGAAAGAAGAGGAGGAGAGCAGGGAGGGAGGTCAGGGAGAGTGGGGAGGGATGTGGGATGTGTCCCTGCCCAGACATAGATGGGAGTGTCTGGAAGAAGAGAGGAGAAGAGAGAGATGCGTGGGGGTGGGAGAGCACAGGGGGTCTGTCTTGGAAGGGGCAAGTGCTGGGAGCTGCAGAGGATCTGCTACCTGCTCTCTCCCTTGTGCCCTGGGGTGAGAGGTGAGGCCTGCAGGAAAGCTGGGGAGGGACTTGGGATGAGGGGCACTGGTCCTAACCCAGAGCAGGAGGATTGAGATGAGACATCAGGGAGAAGTTCTTTACTGTGAGGGTGGTGAGGAGCAGGTTGCCCAGTCACAGGGTGGTTTCTGAGGAACCTCTGAGGATCATCTCGTCCAGCCCCCTGCTCAAGCAGGATCACCCAGAGAGGTGGTGGAGGCCCCATCCCTGGAGAGACATTCCAGGTCAGGCTGGATGGGGCTCTGAGCAACCTGGTCTAGTTGGAGATGTCCCTGTGCCCTGCAGGGGGGTGGACTGGGTGACCTTGAAAGGTCCCTTCCAACCCAAAGCATCTTGTGATTCCATGACAGTGCTCCCTGCAGAGGAAAGCTGGGAAGCAGAACCCTGGGTGGGCTTGGGCACCACCTGAAACAGGAGGAAGCCACAAAAGTTGAAAATGAAAGAAGAGGAGGAGAGCAGGGAGGGAGGTCAGGGAGAGTGGGGAGGGATGTGGGATGTGTCCCTGCCCAGACATAGATGGGAGTGTCTGGAAGAAGAGAGGAGAAGAGAGAGATGCGTGGGGGTGGGAGAGCACAGGGGGTCTGTCTTGGAAGGGGCAAGTGCTGGGAGCTGCAGAGGAGGAGGAAAGTTCCTCCTGGCACAGGAGGTGCCCATGTGTGCAGTGTAGCTGTGAGCTCTGTGGGAGGGTGTTCAGGGAGGAGCAGGGGTGCTGCTGGTTCCAGCAGTGTTAGGGGAAAGTCAGGGTCCATCTGGGACTGCAGAGGTGGTGGTGACCAACCCTGCCTCAGCCTGGGCTGCTCCTGCCCCTGGGACCTGCAGTTCAGCCCCTGGCACCTGGTGGCAGCTCAGCAGAGGGACAGTCCAGGCTTCTCACACAGATCCCACCTCTCCTCTCTTCCCTTGGTTGTGTGTTACCTTCCCTGCTCCATTCCTGTTCCTCTGGGGCTCTGCCTGCTCCTTCAGTCATCCTCTCCCTCCACCTCCACTCCCTCCCTCCTGCTGCAGCAGGACCCCCCTTTGCTGTCCCCAGCAGATCCCACATTCCCAGTCCCTTGTTTCATTCCCTCCTTGGCCTTTTCTGTCTCCATCTCATCCCATCCAGGCAGGTCCCTTCTCCTGTCTCCATCCTCTCATGGACTTCAGACCCTCTTGCTTTGCTGTCTGCTTTGCCTCCAGCTTTGCCTCCTGTTGTTCCTCCCTGTCCTCCCCAGCTTTTGGGTTTTCTCTCCTGGCTGAAAAATACCAGCAAGAAGTTTATTGTATTTTTAGCATCTCTGAGTGCAACCTGGGAGCTGGGGCAGCCCTGGTGCCACCCAGAGCAGAGCAGCTCTGGGAGCTTGTGCCTCAGCAGCCCTGGGAATGCCTGGGAATGCCCGGGAATGCCCGGGAATGTCTGGGAATGCCTGGGAATGCCCAGGAATGTCTGGGAATGCCTGGGAATGCCCGGGAATGCCTGGGAATGCCTGGGAACCTGGGAACGCGGGGCCGGTCCCGCCGGAATGCGGGGCTGGAGGGGCAGCAGCTGTAAATGTCCCCTTGGTGCCCGTGTTGATCTTTCCCAGCTGTCACCTGCCCAGCCCTGCCTGTGCTCTCCTGGAAACCAGGGCTCTGCCCAGACTCAGCTCCAGGGCCAGGAAGGCTCTGGGCTCCCTTGGGAGCTGCACCTTTCCTGCCAGCAGCAGAGCCCAGGGCTGGGCAGCAGCTTGTCCATCTGGGGGCTGGGAGGGCTCCTGGGTGCAGCTCTGGGCCCCTCATCACCAGGAGGAGGTAGAGCTGCTGGAGAAGAGCTACCAAGCTGCTGAAAGGTCTGGAGAACAAGCCCTGTGAGGAGAGGCTGAGGGAACAGGGGATGTTTAGTTTGAGGAAGAGGAGACCTCATTGCTCTCTACACCTGCCTGGAAGCAGGTTGGGGTGAGGTGGGAGTCGGGCTCTTCTCCCAAGGGAGTAATGACAGGACCAGAGGGAATGGCCTGAAGCTGCTTCAGAGGAGGGTTAGACTGGAGATTAGAAAGAATTTCTTTACCCAGAATGTGGCTGGACAGTGGAACAGGCTGCCCAGGGAGGTGGTGGAGTCACCATCCCTGGAGGTGTTCAGGAGAAATGTAGATGTGGTGCTGAGGGACATGATTTCAGCACTGAATGGGTAAATCAGGTCATGGTCAGGGGACTTAGGTTATGGTTGGACTTGATGATCTTCAAGGTCCCTTCCAACCAGGATGATTCTGTGGTTCTATGACTAATTGCCCAGTTCCCAGAGTACTTCTTCTTTCAAGGGGCCATGGGCACAAGCTGGAGCACAGGAGGGTCAAGCTCCCCAGGAGGAGGAACTTGTTGCCTGGGAGGGTGGCAGAGCCCTGGGCCAGGCTGCCCAGAGAGGCTGTGGAGGCTCCTTCTCTGGAGACACCCCAGCCCCTCTGGAGGCTCCTGTGGGACCTGCTGGGGGTGACCCTGCCCTGGGGGCTGGGAGGGGGGGTCTCCAGAGCTCCCTGCCAGCCCTACCTCTCTGTGATTCTTCCTGTCCAGCTTTCTCACCAGGTGCTTTCCCCTCTCACCAGTGCCTGCACATCCTTTGTTGCCCCAGTTCCAGGACCTGCTGCTCCTCACACTGCAGGTCTCTGTACTTGGCAGGTGGAATTTATCACCAGGATTCCCCAGGAGTTGCCCCTAAAGAAAGGGGCAGATGTTACTTTCTGGCTTAGATGAGCCTGGATCACTGTGGACCTTGGCCATCTCATTTTGCTGTGGCTGGAGTGTCAGCAATGGAGAAGTCTTTGCATCTCTCAGGAGCAGGTCACCAGCATTAGCTCGTTCACAAGCTGCACTTTCAAGTCTGAATCTGTTCCTCTGCCATTCCTGGCCATGGATCCTTTCTCTCTACTCATTCATTAGATTTAAAAGGAGATTGGTGTCGGTGTCTGGGCCAAAGTGGTGGAAATTGATTTCTCCTGGACGTGCCTTGGAGGGGGCAGGGTGAGACATGACTGTCCTGCCTGGGCAGTGGCAGAGGCAGGGCTGGGAGAAGCCAAAATCTTGGCTTCCCCAGAATAGAAACCATTGCTTGTCTGATAAAAATAGTCCCCTGTGGAGCAGAGGGAGTGAGGGATCCTGCTCTGGAGTGAGCTGCTGCAGCAGAGGGCTGGAGGGGGAGGTGAGGGGCAGAGGGAGCTCAGTCATGTCCGTGGGCAAAGTAAGAGATTGAGGGTGGGGAGCCCCTGGCCCAGGCTGCCCAGGGAAGCTGTGGCTGCCCCATCCCTGGCAGTGTTGAAGGGCAGGTTGGATGGGGCTTGGAGCAGCCTGGGCTGCTGGGAGGTGTCCCTGCCCATGCAGGGGGGCACTGGGTGAGTTTAAGGTCCCTCCAACCCAACCCATTCCATGACTGAGGCTCCCAATGGACTTTCAGCCTTCAAGCAGTATTGGTGAGACACCCATCTCCACAGTGCCCTGAAAGTGTGTGGTGGGTGTTTGTGCTGCTCTGCTGGGCACTGGTGCTGGGGGTGCCTGGCTGGGCCACCACAACCCCCCTGGTGAGGGTGTGTTCCTGGCAAGGCTCGATGGCAGCACCCCCAGGCAGCAGGAGATGATCCTGACGGGACTTCTTGCCCAGCATCACTTTCTGTGCACGGGGCTCAGGCCAGTGCAGTTTGTGGTGCCCTTTGGGAAGAGAAGGTTGGAATGTAGGATATTTATTTTTTTTTTGTTTGGGTTTTGTTTGGTTTGGGTTGGTTTTTTTTCCTGTTTTTTTTTTGGCTTGGGTGTTTTTTTGGTGGGTTTTTTGGGGGGGGAAGTTTTTTGGTCGGGTTTTTTCATGCTGGAATTGCTCCAATAACTCCAATTTCCATGGGCAGCACTTCACTGTCTGAAGAAATCTGATAGGAGGTTGGGGTTGAGGGGTTAGGGGAGGGCCTCAGACATTCCTGAGCCTCTCAGCTGCCATTGTAGTCACCAGCCCACCCAGCCCTTGAGAGCTATTTTTGTGACTGCTGCCACGACACGGGAGTTGGGGAATGTGCTCTGGGCAGAAGAGCCCTTTCTGCTCCCCAGCAGGCACTTGGGTAGAAGGAGGTTTGATCATTGCTCTCTGATCATCTCTGCTTCCCTGCAGAAGGCCCTGGTGGGGGTAACAAACTCTTTGACAGTGATCAAGGAGGAAAGGTCAGTGCTTCATCTTGGACGGGTCCAGTTGAGCCTCGGCAGGACGGGAGCTCTGCCTCGGTCCTGCCTTCAGAGGGGGCTCAGAGGGATGTGTGCTTCGTTAGCTGTTAATTGGCTGCTGCTCGTTAGGGTGTGTTTGGGTGGAGAGAGGCCACGGGAGCATGTTTGCCCATGCAGGTGTGATGGGATGTGTGGGGCAGACAGTGGTGATCCCTGACACCCTGTGCAGACGTGTTGAAGCCGGAGGTGTTTGTCTGCCTGACAGCGCTGGAACTACCTGAAATGTGTCCCTGCCCACACAGGGGGTTGGAACTAGAGGATCTTTAAGGTCCCTTCCAACCCAAACTGCTCCATGAGAGTGTTCTGGGGTGGGAATGCAGGTGGTTGGGCACGTGCTGGTGGAGCGGAGACGGGGCTGTGCTGCAGCGAGGTGGGACTGCAGGTCCTGGCAGTGGGGCTCGTGTTCCTGGAGAGCAGGCTGGAGGGTGTGTGAGAGCTGGAGCTGTGCAGTGAGCCTGTGCCTGCCTGCAGCTGGTGCTTGGCAAGTAGCTGGTGAGGCCCTGAGCGTGGAGGCAGAGAGGGAAGGGCCGGTCGTGTGGGTGTTCGTGCCGCGCTTCTCCTTCCTCCCCCGTCCTCCAGCATCAGCAGCCGCTCTGTGTTTTTCTCCCTTCTCTCCTTTACTCTGTTCTCCTCATTTCTTTCTGATCCTTTTGTTTTCCTCTCAGCTCCTTTGGTTTAATAAGGCCAGCTCCAGGATGGAGGGTGACTCAGCTGTGCAGCCTGTGCCCGGGGCCCAGGACAGCCGGGATTGCCCCCCGGACACGGCGGGTCCGACCCTCGCGGCGCCCGCCCGGCCTCGGGACCCTCCAGCACCTGAGAAGCCCACCCGTGGGGCAGAAAAGCCCCAGCTAGACAAGCAGGATCCCACGGGTGGTCCCTTGCCCCAGGACCAGCTGCCAGAGACGCCAGAGCAAGAGTGTCTGATCGACTCTCAGCCCATCCTCTTCAGTGAGAACCCCTTCGTGGTGGCCAACCGCAGGGGGAAGGCAGGCCAGGCTGGCCTGGGGGGCCCGCCCCTGGGCTATGGCAGGGGGGGAGTGCTGAAGACCAACCTGTACTCCAAGGCAAGCAGCCCCCCTGCATGCTGTGTGTGCCTCGTGTCCCCAGGGAAGGCCCTTCCTACTAAACCCTGCACAGGCTGGTCCCACCTCACCCGCAGCTCCAGCCCCGGGCGGGCAGGGGGTTCCTGCCACTAACCTGCCCCAGCTGCTGCCAGGGCTGCATGGTGGGATCCCCTCCTGGAGGGGAGGCAGGGGTGTCAGGCCTGGAAATCATCAGGGTCTTGAAAGGTCTGGCATTGGTAGTCAGGGTGGGTGAGGAGGATGAGCTTCCATGGAGGAGGAAGATGCTGGGAGGGCTGGAGCAGCTCTGGAGCCAGGCTGGGAGAGTTGGGGTGTTGAGCCTGGAGAAGAGAAGGCTCCAGGGAGACCTGAGAGCAGCTTCCAGGGCCTGAAGGGGCTCCAGGAAAGCTGGGGAGGGGCTTGGGACAAGGGCAGGGAGGGATGGGAGCAGGGGGAAGGGTTTCCAGCTGGCAGAGGGAGCTGGAGCTGAGATGGGAGGGAGAAATTCTGGGCTGTGAGGGTGGGGAGAGCCTGGCCCAGGTTGCCCAGGGAAGCTGTGGCTGCCCCATCCCTGGGGGTGTTGAAGGGCAGGTTGGATGGGGCTTGGAGCAGCCTGGGCTGCTGGGAGGTGTCCCTGCCCATGCAGGGGTGGGGCTGGGTGGGCTCTGAGGTCCCTCCAACCCGAGGCAGTCCCTGCAGCCCCCGGCCGGGCTCCCCTCCCGCAGATGGCGTACCTGCG